TTCGAAAAAATAATCAGAATTTTTGATTTACCGAGGTTCCCTGGCCAGACAGTTCAATTTGAATTCTGATTTCGTGGGTACAAGTGTGACGTTTACGTCCCGGTTTTCTACATAATTTTGTACTTGTACATAGCTTCTGCGCCGTACGACGTTCGATTCGACGGGCATCCATACACGTTTCGTCGCGCAACACGCATAAAAATCGCGGCCAAAAAATGAGACCGTGACTCCGCGAAAATTACCCACAATTCTCGTTACGTGTCTGTTTAGTGTTTAGTAAGGCGTGTTTAGATTTTGTAAGGCGTTGTAAATTATGTCAAAGAGAAGTATATATGAATGTTACACGAAATTTAAAAGTTTATCGATTATATATCTATAACTATATGTAAGTAGAAGTGCTAATGTAACGGATTCTGGTATGCGCGATTAATCTCGCATTACTCGCGATGGTTCTATTACTGCTTCGGCGATAGCAAACGGAACGGCACAAAACAGGCATAAATCAACTTTAAAAACAATATTTAAAACCTGACAATTTCAAGCGAATAGAGCAACTGATGCAATAGATAACTTTGAGATTTGTTTTAAATTTAGGAGAGAAAAAAGAAAATATTTAACCGGTAGTTGAGGGAAGCTCGGATGGCTTTCCGAATAAATTCTACAATCCCTAGAAGTATTTCGTTCATTCCTGTTTTGTGCGACGCGTTAGTTACCAAGCCGCTTAGAACATCCAAGATCCCAGCGATCGACGTTTTTACAAACCGATACGATCCATGCATACTCGCTTGTTGAGATAAAGCTTAAGTTTCGCTCTAAGTCCCGGTAAACACGAGCCTCGACGGTGGACGCCACGGCCCTAATAGCGAAAACGTAAGTTACCCTGGTGTTCCCCACCGGTCGGACGTGTCTCTCATGTAAACGATAAGAAACGAATTGTACCACGTTGTATCTGGGAAGTGATATTTCTCTGTTACGTAGTGTTGCACGCGAAAGCTGAAACGACATCGGCGGAAACAAAACGTGCAACGGTATTATTGCGGCGGTGCATTGTACGAAGATATAATAAAGCACGAACTGCTGGAACATCATGATTCGTCCGCACATCACCTCCAACGTGAATTCTCTTCTCTCTGTTTGTCGTAGAACGTTAGCCGACAACCGCAATATACATATATATATGAAGTTCGATTTCTCGTTTACGCACGTACATGTTCCCGACATTACGATTAATCATGTTGTCGTCCCTCTGCACCGATCAACGTCCGTGCGGTTTTTAGTTTACGGCAACCGTTACGCTATGCGACGCTATCCAGAGGAGAAGAGTTGGGAAGTTTTACTTCATACTTGGCAATAATTAGAGAAAGGGTGGGAACAAATCATCTCCAGAAATTAAAATTTTCATAAAACTGGAGGAAACTTGTTTTTACCCAGTGGGGTATGTTCTGGAATAGATGTAACCGAACTTGGGTAGGAGTTATATTTACCCACAAATCTTTAATTGTTTTCTATATATAATATAATACCAGGTGCAGGCCATTATTTATTCTTTTTTAATACTTAGAAATTTATGTGCTTTGAATAATTCTTCTGATCTACAAGTAACCAAAAGTAGGAGATGAGTTGTTTCTCCACCAACGTCTTCTTAATTCTTCCTATACAATACCAGGTTCAAGTATCTACTCCTTCTCGTATACATATATCTTTCTTTTACATTTATTTTGCTCGATAGAATCCACCAGAAAGAATATTCAACAAATTACCTTTGCCTGGTATTGTATATTTATATTACAAGTTAATTCATTTTCTGTTAAATAATTCTTCGTTGACTCTAGTCTGCTTCCGTTTTCCTTCCCTTATGTCAGCCATGTGAATTAAGAGCGTTTACACTTGCTATCGTTCAGTACTGTGCCGTAAACTTTTTAACAATCGTTCGTTGCCCCCAGCACACGATGGTCCCATGTAAATTACCAATTCCCCACACACGTTGACCTAATATGCGCGAACCGATTAGGTGATTGTTTACGTATGTGTGTTCTTTGCCCCGCTGTGTTCCAACGTCAGCATCACCACCTAGTCCACGGTTATGACCAGCTTTGACCCTTGTGTGGGGACGACTCGAAGGGACGTGTCGCGAAAACGTAAAGAAAATCATGATCGGTTACGAAAAAGACATTGTCTAAGAATAGTCACTCTGTATTCTTGTGAAGAAAGAAGGATATCTACATGGCATACATCTATGGAGTTAGAAAACGATAGTCATTCGATGATGGGAAAGCTGCAATGTACATTGGAATAAGGATGGATAACCCAACTCACCTGATTTGTATGTTTCGTCTTAGTATTCTTCGTATGTAGGTTTTTTGATATGATTACTTGGAAAATTCTTCAGTGAGTCTATGAAAGTGAACGTGGAGGAAAATTGAAGAATCGTAAAACTATTGTTACAGGTTATAGTAATGTGGTACAGTTATCACACAGGCTAGGTTAATTTGTACCCGAAATTTACACATGCAAAAATAGTTAACAAATTTGTTGTATCCTCATAATCAGTTCATGGTTTTGGTTTTATTAGGAGACGAAAAACAACCTGTTCATACTAACAATGTAGCTACTAATAGCTACTAATAACCTATAGAGCTATGAACCCATACAGAATAATTGATCTCTTAATGAATTTGAGGGATCCTCTGAGGAGTAAGTGGTCTTCTATCGACCTCTGAGAGGTCCTGCCCTCAAATGGACCACCTTACCACTGCACTTTCTTATTGTTAGAATCTAATGCTTGCTATTACAAAATTAATAAATACAGAATCTTATAAAATCTCAATCATGCTCGAAAATTGTATACTTATGTGTTTATTTTTGAAAACAGTGAAACTGTAAATTCAATTCACACTTCAATGTGAATCCAAGTTCAATCTAAGTAGGACTAACGGTACAGCTCGTTGGATCGTGGAAAGTCTTTTGACAAACTAGCGACACTTACAATTTCTCCGTTTCTTTGGACACATAATCTTCCATAGACTCCCTAAACAATTTTCTAAACAATCACTTCAGTAACAGACTATCATCCGAAGACTACGAGAATGAGTCACACGTATTAGGTGAGTCGTATCCACCCCCAATCACTCAGCCAAATAACGACTGCTTCCTGATTCTTAGAACACACAGATGCATGCTATATAAACGTTTCTCTTTCCGAATGCTGAAAACGAACCCCCTTCGACATTGTACTTTTTATTGAACGATCGAATTCTATTGTCGGTTGCCTGGCTTGGAAATGGAGAATGTCGCGAGTGCTAAACAAGCAACTTGCAGTAACAGTTAACTAGATCTCCGAGATTTCTCTTTCGGCGATAATAACATTTGCTCGACAAATATCGAATCCAAGAAGATTCTACCTGCGGCGCTTTCAGAGTTTACCATTTCCACGCTCCTCCGCGACAGAGTCCCTCATGCATAAGAAACGTGGGGGATCTCGTGTCGCGATTTCTTGAACGCGATTCGCTGTTTGCTTTGTGGTACGCGTCTGTTCCTTTCTTCTTCATTTTTTGTTTTATTTTTTTTTTATCCCTTTTTGCTTTTGCATTTGCGGTACACGGGGGCTAGAATAACGTTACCATGACAGGGGGAACCTTCTGGTCCAACATTCGAAGGTAGAGTGCAGTCCCAACGGAAATCGAGCAGAGAACCCAGCAACGTCAGCAGCAGTCAGTCCACCAGACGAGTTGTCGATAGTGCAGTACCTGCTATGTCACTGTGTAGAAATTGTCGTGTCCACCACTCCCCCCCCCCCCTGGATTCCATTACCACAGCCCATCGTCAACCGTTCCTTCTTTGTCCACTCTCTTTAGCTCTCTTTAAAGTAGAACGTAGCTTCCAATGCACGCGGGGAGCCATTCGACTATCATTTCCATGCACTGTCGTTCGAGACATTGTTAAGAGGCTGGCCGAAGCTATTCGCGGCCGACTTTCCCGGAACGATGCGGCCTGAACACCTGGAGGATCAACCTCGATCAATTCCCCCCGGACCGGTTTCCCGCGCTATCGATCCTTCACGCGAAGATTCACGTGGCGAGGGATAAATAGCGAAGCTGGTCCCTTCTAAAAAGTACCCGAAACAATTGACTTGGATGTTTTTCTTCGTCTTTCCGCTTCACCGTCACCCACGTACACTCACACCAACCGTTTAATGTCTCCTGTCTCTTCTATAGAAGTATCTATATATGTGGATGGTAGAGATTATTTTCTTTTCTTTTTTTTTTTGCTAGAAACTTCGGTACAGTTCCGAATACCATGCGTCTGCGAGGCGATCCATCCACCAGGCCGCATCGTAACGATAAAGTCGAACGATCAGCCGAAAATGATCTTAACCAACCGCCTAATGTCGTGTGTAGTTCTGAACGTGAGTAAAACTGTGACGTTGCTCGACGCTTGTGAATAAAAAAATCAGAGAGAGAAACGGATATCGCTCGATCGTTCTTGGAAAATCGATTCTGACCTGCCATCGTTAAAATTCCATGTTTGTACATCGTTTTTTGTTTTATTTATCTGTGACGAGTCGCCACTTTGGGCTCTGAGGATTCGATAAGCAACAATCGATGTTCCCTGTGCAACGACGAAACGTATCGGTATCTTTTGGTCGTCTCCGGCTCGCAGCTCGGAGCGACGTTTTATTAGCCGCGAGCTCTCGATCGCGTTCGCACGGTCGGCTACGTTGAGGCTCGACGAGTTCGAGAGGAGTGGTAGAAAGGAAGCTGCATGTGTCACGACAATGCGCGCCCGTGAATCTCGGAAGCGTTGACGCGCGCGACATCCCAACGTAGGTGTTCTTTATCGTTGATCTTATCAAAATGAAAGAAAGTAAAAGAAAAGGGAAAAAAAAATTACCGGAAAGGGAGGAAAAGAGAACGTAGAGAATTCGAAAACTCGCTTGAGATCAAGTTGATGAAAATGTTAATTAATCGATCTTCCTTTTTTCTGTTTCTTCAACGCTCTAGTTGTTCAGGATTAAGCCTCTGCCAGTGTTAGTAAGTACCGCCACTTGATCTGGTGTGATTGGACTGCTGTAGTTAGAAGGCTATGCGTTTATCATACATACCCACATACATATATTACGTTCTAACTCACGCATATCGTCTACCGTGCGCGGCCTAAGTCTGAGTAAACTATTAGTATTTCCAGTGAAAAGAAATTAGAAAAAATTAGAGTTCCACCTACGCGTTAGTAGTTAGTTTCGCAGCTTCTGATTTCTCGTGTTTCTCAACTTCGCCACGGGTTTATCGTACCTCTGTAGAGGTGTTAGAAGTTCTCATTTGTTGGCAATCCCTGGTCAAACTATTCCATTGGTCTAACGTCGTTGAAACTGTCGGAACTACCTCGAGCAAACTATCAGCACGGTACACGCAAACGTTTGTCCGAGAGTTTGGAGTTTACCCAGACTTGAGCCGCGCGATCATTCGCCCACCACACCAACACACACCATCGCAGAAAAAGTAGGCCTCCACTTGACTGTCATCCCCGTTTCATGCGTTTTCTTTTCACTCTGCTCATAATTTTGCCAGGTCGCCCGGTTATCGTTTGAAACGAGAAAACGTGTCGACGCGAAGAGTGTCGTTCTTCGCCTCCCTGTCGGCACCACATGCAAGTGCTGTAAACGCGCAAGAGTCCTTCTTTTTACTGACGATGCGCAACAATAGGCTACGATGCTCGCGGGGAAAATCCTCTGATCGGTTATGGACCGTGACACCGTGTCACGTGCGAGCTTCGTAGTCGCTGGGAGACGTAGATGACTGCGGGACTATGAAACGATCACGTTACGTTTAGCGTAGAGACTAGGCCTGTGCGAATATATCAGCCTCCTGATCTTCCATTGATTGTCCGACCGCATACCTCATCGTCATCGTGTATTCCCTTCGATGGGGAATTTGATTCATTCGTTTAAGTGGATACATGCAGACGTCATAGGCAAAATTTAAGAATTTTTTTTCTCAACATTTAAATCTTATGCAACAAATTCTTGAATTTTGGCTGCGACAACTACGCTTACCCTCTTAACTTTATTGTGTGCGCTCTGATTGGGTGGTGAGAAAATCTTTTCAGTTTGTTCAAATAGATGAGAAAGCCAGGGTATATTAACAAATATTTTTAATTGATTAATTTATTGTATATTTTTGATTCGTGTGTATGGTTATGTTCCGTCGTTATTGTTTGTCGTGACATTTCAATCGAGAATGTTAACATTGTTCTCCAAAATTGTTTAATTTGTTTATCGTTAAGGTAATCTTGTAGGAGACTATGTAAATAATAATCGGATGGTGCCACGTCTGATGAGTACAGAGGACAAGTAAGAATTTGTTTTTCGTACTTGTTGCTACACAAGATCTGGTATTCTTCGTTATCGAGTCTTGGCCTTTTAGCATGATGTACTTTATTGGAACGGTTTGTTTTTATAGTTTTCCTTATGGTTTCCGCAGTTTATTATTACGCCTTACACCTATCATCTCCCACGAATAACATGATCACGACACAATATAGATTTTTTTTTTTATGCGACTAAGGCTTTGCTACGTTTAATGCTATTGCGTCTTTGAGAGACTATTTCCATTTTTTATTTGTATTGTTATACAGGATGGAACACTGGAAACTGCAGTCGAAAATAATTTTTTATTTATTGCTTTGAATAGAATGTTTAAAACAAGATACGTTGTGATTGGAATGGTTTAATAGGAATGTTTGATTTGTGAAGAGAAATCATTTTTAACGTACTGCCACAAAAAGTGTATCATTTTAAAAATCCAATGTCAAATAATCCTACTTGATGAACCTTTCGAGTCGCACCATACATTGTTTCATTTTCAAACGTTTGAAAAATTATTTTAAAAGGCATTTCTCAATAAATCCCTCTGTACACCATAATTGCCATACAAATGTAATTGATTAAATTTTTATATCATTGAAATCAAAACAGACTTTCTCACCAACCCATGCTGCACAGGGTGTTCCATTTAAATCGTCTCCTTCGAATATCTCTAAAACACTTGATTTGACAAACATTGAGTAGTTTCAAAATAGGTATTTTTTGGTATAGGTAATTTTTTTTGAAGGCGCCTCGAATATACATATTTTATTTAAATATTATTATATTTTCTTTACACTTAAAGCCATTTAATTTCCTCTTCCAAGCAATTAAAATGGAACACCCTGTACACATCCGTCACTTAGCGTTTTGGTCTCTCACTAAACGCTTTTCATCCCAGAAACTAGTAAACACTGTTTGTGTTCGCGATCCATGACGAGTGGCATTGAAATTGCGATTTTTTTTCACGCCATAATCGCATGTGATCGCCTAGCGATCGTCGAGACGGCTGTAAACAAAATGTTGAGTGCTGTATTCGCGCAGAGCTGGGTCCCGCGTTACACGAACTTCATTCCACCACAAAATCACGTCCCTTTAAAATCATTACCGATCATCGGTCGACTTGTCGTCATTGCTAGTGGCGCGTGCGCAAGTCGGACGGCACTTCTTATCTTGTCACTGTGCATCATTATTCTATATTATTCCCTCATACGCCGTCTCTTATTCGCACATTTACGTAGTGCCCGTATGCATAAATTTTGCATATCGCGCCTTTACTAAAGCGTGTACGTGTGCGTATGTGCGTGCGTGTGTCAGTCTGCTGTGGCACGTACTGTGCAGCATCCAGTGCTTTCAGCTTATTGTCTGAGAAAAACAAAAGAAAAACCGTACGAAAAGTGACGAGCTCGTTCGTCTATATGTACATGCATCGCTAGATCGTTGCACTGATTTCTTAATTACGACATCAAGATCCGTAATCACTTTCGTATTCCACTGTTAATCGAACTTTTCCAATTCTGTCTACAAAAATCTATGTTGTAAAAATAGTATGACACCTCTTTCGATTACCCACGATCACTATAAAAAGAAAGATAATAATCTTTGAAAACCGATACCTCGGTATTTTTCTGTTTTGCTCGCCTAGACTTTGTTCGAAGCGCGAACTAATCACGCTAACGCTTTACGAATGGAGACTCGATTTTCTTGGTAATTGAACGCGCGAGCATGGGATTCGGAGAGCTTTGCCTAACGAGCATTCGGTAAAATGGAGTTCTCGCGAATTTACTGTTGTGAATTAAACGTTGAAGAACGTTTTCCGGTATAGAAATTCTTTTTGGAGCAATTTAAAGTAAAATGTGGAACGTCGGACTCTGGCAATAAATTCTACGAGTAAAGTTAAGAAGAAAATGGTACATGTATATTTATTTCAAATCTACTTAATATATGGTATTTGTCTTCAGCACGTTAAATAATTGAAGGCAGTGAAAATTATTTATACAATTATGTCACGGTAATTTGAACCATTTTTTATAAATTTGAAAAAGAAAGAATATTCTAGGTACGGAGGAAACTTCAAGGTGAACAATAAGAAGAACTATAAGAATAATTAATGACTTTTATGATAGCAAGTTAAAACTTATATTTTTGAAGATTTTCGGCTCTTAGTGTACACTGCTCGTCGAGTCGGCTCGTATATACTGTTTGGAACTAATTATTGAATTAAGTATTCATATTTCCAGAATGAAAAGTCTATCTTCTATTTGTACTCGCGGAAGTTATTGCCAAAGTTGGAACCACGGCACTTAAAAGTGAACTCTATACAGAGTGGGGTGAGAATCATAGTTCAACCAAAAAAGAGATGATTCTTCGCCTAAAAATGAATCGAAAACGAGCAGTAAAATTTATTTGTACGAGGTTTCGTTTATGGGAAAATCGATCTTGAAAATTTGTGAGGCTCGCGTGCTGCTTGGTCAACGTTCCCGACCATAATTCATTATATCTGTTCGTACTGGTGTTTGTAGACAATGGTATAGTACTATCTGTTTCCCATCTATCTTCTGACTAATTCAAACTGGTTGATACAAACAACACTATACCACTGTCAGTGTTCAGTAACGTTGACGTAAGTAGAAATAACGAGCAATGGTCAGACGCGCTAGACCCAAGAATTTTCAGAATCGATTTTCTCGAAAATGAAACCTTGTATCAAAAACTGTCATCCTACCAATTCGACTCATTTATGCGCAAAGTATCACCCCCTTATCTATTGAATTATGATTCTCACCCGAATCTGTACACGGTATCATTTTTCTCTGGAGTCAATGTTTCTTTATACATCCTGGTCGTTGCAAACGAATATAAATCAAACATGTCCTCTTTCGTAAAGTGTTTTAACAGTGTTTCGTCAGTGTGGCGAATTCGTTCTATGCATCGATCGCTGGTTACTCTAACATAATAAAATTTGATCATGAAGCATCCTTTTCGCGTAGCGTTTATTTGTCGTCAGAAAGTAATCGTGCTATCAAGAAGGAAACGTAAAAGAACATATTCTTGAGAGGTGATTGACTTTCGACGCGTGCTCTCTTTAACAAAAGTACATTTAACGCTGCTCTTCGCAAAAACTATCGCCAACGCTTACGTATGTTGCATTTACCCCTTTTCCCGCAGTGACCGAGTTCGTTTGCAATACAAGCTAGCCTTAGCTAACGTAAGTAGCATCGACAGCGATCGATGGCACCGTAGAACGAACGTTCCCACCCATACTTTAGAGGCGACAAGTAATTACCTATAATGTGATTCTCTATTAACCTAAATGGTCTCGGTGATCTGAGTGAGAAATTGTGAAGTTGCCACCCCCCAACCCCCAAAAAGACTTTGCAACTGTAACCACGAAAGCCAATGTTCTGCACTGTTAACGTTCTTACGTTTCTTCCCCCATTCTATTGTTACACTTCTTTCGGAATGATAACGAAAATTTTCAATGTCATTTCACCGATTTCATATAGAATCACTAATAATAGCAAACGAAATAGCGCGCGTAGACGCTTGGAAGGTTACAAGTCGATTTTTCTGCACCAACAGATTTTCGTTCGAGCGCAATTTGACTATGATCCGTTGGAGGACGAGCTGATACCTTGCGCGCAAGCTGGAATCGCGTTTAAAACCGGGGACATCTTGCAGATCATTAGCAAGGATGATCATTATTGGTGGCAGGCGCAGAAGGACAACGCGGCCGGTTCCGCGGGATTGATACCTTCGCCTGAGCTTCAGGAAGGCCGTATCGCTTACATGGCAGCGGAGAAGAACAAGCAGGAACAAGGTAACGGTTACACGTGTCTCTTAAACGTTTTATTGGCAGACGAATCCACTCGCGTTCGCAATTTCGCAATTTTAACTGTTTATGGGTGTCCATGAATTGTGGTGTTTAGCGGAGCAGCGAGTAAACGATGACGAATGGTCGTTATTAAATGGAACGATATAGGATTCTGTGATGGAATTACGTTAAGGGTGACTTTGATTTAAGGAAAGTCAGCTTGTATTTATGCTAGTGGCACAACGTTTAATGCACTATCGACGCGAAAGTTTACGTTCTGATATTAATTTATTTTCAAAATAAAATTAGAGGAAACGGAACATAGCAGGACATCTTTAAGCATTTCTTCTTCTAATTTTGTATTGTATTTTTCATTCTTAACTAATTTAGCAAGAATCCTCTTTTAATGGTCTTCTTATTAAGGTGGTGAAGGATAAATAATTGACGTAATCAATAATATAATGATTCTGCGAACGTGTATCAATTAGCCATACATGGCACTAGTATTTCGGCTGAGTGAACAAAACAACAAACAACAGAAATTTATATCGTAATTTAATTGCAAATTTATACACTTGTACTTCAAAGACAACCCATGTTAAACCCACATTCTTGAAACTTAACGGTGTAAACATAAGAAATGCAATATGAGTTAGGTAACAATACCTCAAATTTTCAAAACTTGGATTTAATATGAATGGTCTATGAAATACTAGTGTTGCATATTCTCAACAATTTTATAATCAAACGTTGTACCCTTTGGTGTCCAGTTCCTCCACTTCAAAAGTGTACCAATAAGGGGTGGCGTTTTAAATAGTGTTTACAATATGATTAGACCAGGAAAGCACCTTTTTAATTTATAGCAGAACATCGAACGAGTGTTAGGATAATCGTAGGTTCCAGCAGATCGCATTGTATCTAATTTGTTCAGATCGTTCAATGAAATGTCCGTCGTGTTCAACCATTGCCTTACCGATCCATTATCAATCCCGTCACGTTTGATTCTTCGATTGATCTCCACTAGTATCGCTGCTGCCATGAAACGAATGTGCTGGTGATTATGATGTCATGTTTGTGTTGTTAGATGTGCGCAGGTTTTTCAATGGAGCATGTAGTATCGATGTCAGCCACTTTTACCTAGGAACATGTACAGTTCATGCTGGTTTTTTTTTCAAATGAAACGAGTAATCACGAAATTGGAAGTTTCACTCGTCGATCACATAATCACGGATGATGAGATTGCGATCCCTGATCGAACGTAATACGATTATGTGTCGGCTTCATTTTCTATCGACCTGTCATTACACTTCATGGAACTACGGTTTTAACCTACATTTTGTCCATTTTTTTACGTTTTGAATTTTCTGCGTTTCCTTCATTTAACTATAATTGCACTTCCCACTTTATAAATTTATATCAATCGAAATATTAATGAATACATTGTACAATTATTTAACACCAACGATCCCAATAACATTATATCCTAAAATCATACTTGAAGTCAGCAGTTGAAATAGCAAGAGTACTTTCACTTCTTGCTGGGGGATACCTTAAAAACCACTAGCGGTTGATGGATGATACTTTATTAAAAATAAGATAGAAAGAACGTTTGCTTTTGGGAGAGACCTGAAACGGGGATTCGAGAGTAGCAAAATTCTAGTTCGATGATAAATTAGCTGCAGTGATACACCTGTTGTTGTGTGTTGTGCGGGGCTAGATGCTGAAGGAGAAGGAGGATGTTCTTCTCACACCGAAGGCTGCGACGGTTCGACAGGTATGACTCTGCCTTCAGGTATACAATGCGTAGAGTCACGTAGAACCGTGTAGTCCGCATGAAATACAAAGTACTCGTTACGTGCTTTCAATGCACGCTATAATTTGAACGGAGTTCGAAGGAACGCTTCATTGTAGAAACTAAACACAAGGAACGACTTGGTGCCATTATTCTGAGAAAAAAAAGAATGTGCGGGAACTGTGAGCCACCTGGAAACGATCATAGATGAATCATGACTGTATATATATTTGATCGTTGGAGATATAAAATGAAAAGTAACATTTTCCATGTGTATCAAATCATTCAGTGCACTTCATCGTCACGAAACACCTGGATTTGGCATAAGACGTTTCAGATATTTCTCGTTAAGCATTTCACGCGAATACTGGCTTTCTTTTCACATATCACACACAGTTAGATATATATATATATATATATGAACATTTTAGGTCTTCACGATCATGATCGGTATTACGATGATTCGAGGTTTAGAGAGTTGCATACCAAATTAGAGTTAGCTTTGTTAGAGCTAGACAATATACTTTCACGATACTAACGTCCCTTCTGACCCCTAATAGAGTTAAACTACAGTGCTAGCAAAGTTTAAGTACCACTCGAGTAGTCAATAAATTAACGATTCACGAGCGCTAGAAGATTATATGAAACTAATATGAATCCATGTTTAATCATCTCTGTCAAATAACTTGTGTAAATGGGATCCATTTTTATCAAATGAGTCTGCAGATTTTATTTATTTTTTTATTTAATTTCTTCCGTTGTTCTCGGTGTGAACAGGGGAAGAAGAATAGTATGCTACTTCTTTATTAACTAAAGTTATTCTGTAAGATTGTAAATACAAACTTTGGAAATTACAATATTCATTTATCTATGATCAACAATGTAATTAAATTAAAAACATTAATAAATGCCTAGAACAGTAAGATAACTATGATGGAAATATATTTTTCCATTTTCTGCAATCAGTAATTTATTACTACAAATGCTTCCATATCTTCTACAATATTGTAAATATGAAATAGAGGAGATTGCTTGGTAAGATAAATTTACATGCGCAGAGCTAACTATAATAAAGAATGAAATAGCTTCCTATTAATCAAGATACATTAAGAATTCCCGAAATTGTATGATTATTATGTTTTTAATCATGGCGATATTCTCTTGTAAAATGAAGGCAAAAATAAGGATACAACCTGCAACATTTTCAACGTTAGAAATTGACTAACATTACCAATTCACGTACTTAAGATACACTATTATTCAGCCTATCCGAATATTTGCTTCCACGGATTTTGACGAATCAGTCTCGATTGTTTAGTACCATACTATGAACAGTAAGTTACTCTACAGAACATGTTTTCACGCGGCGTGCTTCGATGCATGCTCTCGCTACGTTTTATGCACTTACGCTTGTTTCACACGATTCCACTCGCAGGCACACTGTCACAGCGTAATCGTGATGAAATATTGAACGGGAAGCTTCCGCGAGAATTGGTAATATGCATAATTTGAAAATTCTCCTGTAAAAGTAAGTCTAAAATAAAAGATTGCTATCGTATTTATCGAGGATGTGTGATAATGAAATGAAATATTTCTTATTGTCTTGTAAAATATTATTCCAGTCTCAGAATAATAAGAAACAATTATAAACCCTCATTTTATTGTAGTATTTCAATAATTCGTGTGTATTTTCAAATATCCGCTGTGCCGAGGCAAAACTTGCTCTACAATTGCTAGTATTTGAATAAAAAAATTTTTAAATTCTTCCTGTGCGTAAATGAAAATCTTGAAGAATTATATTACCTCGTTCAAATTCATCGCGGTCGTGCTCTGATTGTGACACTGACTTTCAAGATTTACGCATAGACTCTCCGTTAGCCCTTCTCTTTTCATCTTGTGACCTGCTGGAACATCCATCACACAGTGGGGACACCCACTCCCTCTTTCTGGTTATGGCTTCTATGTAAACTGGCTGAATGAATGAAATCTCTTTACCATTTAGACAAGAATACGCTTACACGGAGATTGACATTCACGGAGTAGCTCTTTACTTCTACTTGCGCGTAAACATTGCTGATGGTACGAACGTTCGAGGAGGATGCTGATTAACATACATAGACCGCTAAGTGTTTGAATCACAGCCTTAAACACACGTTACACTATGATCGAATCAAAGGAACGTGCGTTGTGAATGTCATAGCAGTTAACGCAGATTACTTCTTCTATTTTATTTTCATCTGTACATGTTCACAATGTAATTTCTATCGTCGATAAGATATTGTTCATCGGGGGCCATCTTCTTGATCGTATGCAGGGTGTACCTTGATATGTGGCGACCATTGCAAGACTTGGACTTGAATCGTAGGAACAACTGTAAAGAGGTCATTGTTATTTTTAACTCTGTTTTACTTTGATATCCCGTTTGTTGAGTTGTGTTTAACCATAAATGTATGAAATATTAAGTATCCGTAATTTTAAACATTTTTTGCAAAAGTATAATTATCTCTATTGTATGTAGCCAACATGAATACCAATATGACTGACCTATTTGCGTTGTTACATGATCCTGAATCCATATTTGCAATATATTCTCATATTGTGAGACAGCCTGTATGTACCGTTCTCTTTAGAGTTGGGTAATCATACAATTTTACTGTAAATAAATATCATATTTGAATAGTGCAAATGTTATGGTTTCCTCATCAATTCTAGAACATTTTTGGTTCGTTAAATTAATTAATCCATTAATTAATTAACCCATTGAGATCATGCGAGTTCCGAAGAGAAAATTAATACTAAAATTCGTTTAGGCCTCGGTCCCTGGTTTAATGAATATAGTTGTTTACGTCGTTGTTGGCGGATTAGATATGGATCTCGGTGAGTTAAAATGCGTTCATCTATCACTTATATTTCGCGATACAGCATTTATACTAAGCAACAAACTCTACAGAGAATTGATTCAATGAAAAGGGACCAGAAGTCTATTCCATTGCAGGATAGACGACTTCGAGCTGTCCTCTGTATTCGCAGAAAAGCACAACTAACACATTTTTCGCATTTCCAGTGAATTGCTCAATATTTGGCCGAAAAAAGAAGCAATACAAGGATAAGTATCTCGCAAAACACAACGCAGTGTTCGACCAGCTGGATCTGGTCACCTACGAGGAGGTCGTTAAGCTTCCCTGTAAGTATGGCACTTAGAAATCTACTTAATTATTAAATATTCCCTTTAACATTATTTGTTTCAATTGAATAAAAATTAAATTAAATCGAGAGTTCAAATGAATATATTTCTTTCTGCATTGCTCGAAGGCTAACAGAACTTACATGTATTTATTACTTTAATATTCTAAACTAAAACAAAGTTAACATTGTCTTTCACTTTACATTATTTTAACAACAGTTTGTCTACGAAATTGACTAAATTTGTTGACAATAGATCCTAATAGATCATTTTATGAGAGAATAAATTTGAAAATTAAATTTCAATTTTTATTCACATTCTGTTTATGTTTTCTGTGACAGATCCTGCATTCCAACGGAAAACACTAGTGTTATTAGGGGCACACGGCGTTGGCCGTCGACACATAAAGAATACAATTATCGCGAAGCACCCCGACAAATATGCCTATCCTATTCCACGTAAGTATAAATAACCTTCCGTTAATTAAAGCTACCTCATTATCGAAATTATAACTCACGTCTAATATATTCACGTGTACCTTACCACTTTAAATTATTTTAAATATTATTTTTCAGATACAACGAGGCCTCCGCGGAACGATGAAGAGAATGGTCGCAATTATTATTTCGTATCACACGATGAAATGATGGCTGACATCGCTGCTAACGAGTACCTCGAATACGGTAAATATTAGAATCGATGCTGCAAAAATACATTATTGGAAATGATAAGAAATTGTTCCTAATTTAATTTTATGCGCAGGTACACACGAAGATGCCATGTACGGAACAAAGCTCGAAACGATCCGAAAAATTCATGAAGAGGGAAGGGTAGCGATATTGGACGTCGAGCCACAAGCGTTGAAAGTGTTACGTACAGCAGAATTTGCGCCTTATGTCGTTTTCATCGCTGCTCCGGTATTCCAGAATATTACCGACGTAAGTACCCGGAACATTGATCGCTAACCTCCTGGGGGATAGAGCTAACTATTGCCACGGGGTTAACTAGTTAAGCGATTAATCGACCATTGACGAGATCACGAAGCATCGACACTTCCACTTAACTGGAAATTCGCAAGCTACTAGAATATGTAGAATAGCATACGTAACGGAAATTGGTTGAGTAATAGTTTAAATATTCAGATCGAGTAACAGTTTCGAAGCTATAACAGAGGTTTCGGTTTATTACAATTTGAACAATTTTATAGCTTAATTTTTTACGATGAGTGAATGTATTCTATGAATTAAAGATAAATAATTGAAGATTTAAGGAAACTCAAACATTCTACCGTAACTGAATTAATGGTATAATTTATGTTTTTATAAAGAAACAGATATTGAGAACATCCCACTTGTAAAAATAGAAACTATTGAGAAGAAGAAGTTGCTTTGGTACTCCTACATTCCAACTGAACATAAAATCCATAATATTGTCTTGAAATATTATCCAATATACCTATTGGATCTACCAAATCCTGGACCCCGATACCAAATTCCCAATAACCCAATCTGAGAACCTGCTATTTCACCAATTTTCTGACAACTGATCCACATTTCCATTATCCTTCAGTTCCTTAATCTCCCAATCGTCCCGACCTTTGCTGAACTATGTTTTTCTACTGATATCATCAAAGAAGGTCAATCTTTTCAAAAATCTCGTGAGGCTTACGCTTCTATATTCCTCGTATGTTGCATAGTTCCATTAAACTTGCCTGTAAAAGCCATGACTCGTATTTTTTCTACCTGCACATATCACTGAAATATCAATAGTTATGACTATATCAAATGCTTTGACACTTAAATTTAAGATTTTTCAAAAAGTGGAGTCACTCTAGTTCGCACGACTAAAAACCATTCTCTGTTCTATTTTCAGTGTGATGGAAGCCTGGAGAGACTCGCGAAGGAGTCGGACTCGCTGAAACAGGCGTACGGTCACTTTTTCGATCTGACCATCGTGAACAACGACATCGAGGAAACGATCGCGCAATTGGAGGCGGCCATCGAGCGGGTCCACACGACACCGCAGTGGGTGCCCGTATCCTGGGTCTATTGACAGCGAACCACGCCAATTCGTCAAATCACGAACGCTGACTGCAACGGCTCATCGTACGGGAAGCAATGATCGACGGATCGCGATTCACCGAACGACCGATCCAAGCGCAGTCGTTTCGCTGCGACCACGGTTGCTTTCTCAGCGCGTGCCCGCTCGAACTCGCGGTGCTCGCAGGGGATCACAGTCGTAGCCGATACGGGACAGACAGGCACGTACATACACGTCGGACCAATCGAACGAACAAACGAATGACACAACTTGCCGTCGATCCTTGGACCGATCAATAGCATGTCGTCGACGCGAACGCGTGACTTTGGCCGTGTGTTCATGGAGGTTTTTATCATTGCTACCGCATCGCTGCTATGATTATTCATAACCGTTATCGCTCCTATCGTCATCGCGTGGGGAGAACCAAAGAGACAAAGCTGACCGGTGCGATCCCGATGCGCAGAACACGACAATCAAAAGAAAAAAAAAAGAAACCAACAGCCACCAGAGATCATAACTTTCGATTTTGATGCATTAAGGTAATCGTTTCTCGAAACGGTGACAAGAAGAAGATAAAACAGTCGAAGGTGTCGAAAGGTGCAAACCCCAAGATACGCTTCAACGAATCATCAACGATAAGTTTCGATGAACCGTTTAACCAACGATAATGTCTCTTCGTGATTGTTACTACACGGTTTTCTCTCTTTTTCTCTTCATACATTTCCGCTTTTACTTTCTCGCTGTCTGTCTCTCTCTTCCGCTATTTTCTTTAGCATTCTCTCGAGACATTCCTTCGCGCCACGTTAGCGCGCGCACACCACGAATTTTGATCACAGTATTTCGTCAGCCTGTGCGATTTACGTACGTAGCGATGGAAACCTATTTGGGGGAGTTTACCAAAGAGTATCGAAACGAAAAACAAATGAAAAGCACCTGTGAAGAATCACGATGTGAAGAGGATTGAACAAGAAAAAAAAACGAAGGGAACGGTCGTTCGAGCTGTTCGTGAATGTTGACCGAGTGGGACACACTTGTACCGTTTATCCGAAATTGTGTCGATCGACTATTCATTGAAACCTATTATTACCTCCTATCGTACTCTCTTGTAACTATTTACACGAAATGAAAAACTAGGGCAGCGCTGTTCGATAGTCTAAACGCTATCCCCCAATCGTAATAGTCAATCTGTTTGTTCGAGTTTTTGAAGGAAAATTGGACTATCGACGACTAGTCGTTTACTTGTAATGTTTAAGCAGTAGGAGAATCTTCGCCGATTTCGTCTAGTACTTCAAACATCTGACAGGGAGTTCGACGCGGTTCGGGTGAACCGCGGCGTACCTTCGGTTGCGTGTATATCCGCGAGCGCTACTCTTCTTTGATCAATATATCGTATCTTTTCACTCCCGTTCAGAGACGTTCGAGTTTCGGTTCACGCCAGTTTTGCAAACTTTCCCGTGGTAGGGTTCAACGGTTCACAGGTCGTGTCTACGACGTCCAGCTATGAAATCCTCACATGTTCCTTTCGTTCACGTGTACCTAGCCTCGACTCGAGCGTGCATCGAAGCACCGATCAACGACGCATGCTTTCTCCGATTTCAGTGCCATTCGAGCGAACGTAGGTACGCACGCAAACACACGAACAACACACACACACACACACACACACAGAGAGAGAGAGAGAGAGAGGTTAGGTGAACGTCCTAGAAACGGCTTTGAACTTGAACCGACCACTTTCGCGCGATTACGTTAACACACGACACACATGTACACACGTCAACCGGTAATATCACTCGGTTCGCATTGCACCCTTGTACAAAGCGCATGATTGAATGACGAAGTAACAAAACGCGGTTTACTATACGATATTTATAAACACGTAAACTCAAGTAAATAGATAGATATACCAGCTATATGAAATAATACGAAACACCGTCTCGCATTAAATGAAAAAAAAAGTCTAGAACACGTGCACACCGAGGACACGCTTACACGATCGCATAGTACACAGAGACACGCGGTACACTCACATACGTATATACACGTATACATAGACACGGATACGTACACGAACAAAAACAACGCGGATTCACGAGATACAGGTTTAACGATTAGGTAATTAATTAACAAGCGATTAAATAAATTAATTGTGTAACTAATTAATACTGAATTACTAGAAGACTAATAGAGAAAATTTGCATATGCAGCCCATAGAACGAAGGAGTGAATGCGTGTACGTACGGGTTTAATGGTGTGAATCTCTTGCAGTCGCGATCAAGCATTGTGATCGGCACTCGCGCGGCTTTGTTCAGAACTTGTTCGATTACGGCTCAACTACTTTGTAAAGATCTCAAAATATACGCACACACTTACACGCATACGCACGCGCGTGGGACGCGCGTGTAAACACACACGTTTTACTCTGTGCTTCCTACTCGACATAAAAATAAAAACAAAACGCAGGTATTAGTCACTGTGGGCGCGCGCGTGATTATCCTTTAATTAAAACACGACAACTTCGACGTAAGGTATACCAAAACGAATAGGGGTGAAACGATGTATCGCCGCACGCTCGATACGATTCGTTTCCGGCAAACACCTGCGAAATGTCGACAACGTTCCGAACAGGCCAACATTCACACGAAGACAAGTCTGAAATCGTTAAGTGACAAGGATCGTCCGCGTAGAAATTCGAGGCGAGCTCGAGTACCGGGTATGATCGTGTATGTATGAGTGTGAAAAACTATCGAAACGCAAGAAGAACGAATCTTCGGTGATTTTGTAATATTTCTTATAAGTTGTAGCTGCCATATCCAGTAAAAACTAAGTACTAGGTGCGCTGCGTGATTTAATCTGACGACCGATTGTTACGATAACGATTCTCGATGGTGGTGGTGATGATCGTGATGATCCTATGTGCTTCTGCAAGTGTGTGTCCGTGACTTTGAATGAGTTACGCTAAGATGTTGAAAGACGACGGGTCTAAAGAAAACAATAACAGTTCATTACAATTATGTAATTATAAATAAGAGGAAGAGACGAAGAGTATTATAACACGTTGTTAATTGAATTAATAAAACTAGCCCAAAGTGTCGAATGTACGTTTATTTGGTAATCCTCGTCGTGTTCGTTTACTAATTGAAGATTCAGAGCTGCGAAGAGGACTAACTGGATGCTCAAGTAATTTTCTTCCAGATATAGTAGTGAAAACGCACATTTTTAATTAGTTACTGCTTAAAGTTTTTCTAAAAGGATGGCAATTAGAGTAAACATAGTTACTGGGAATTAGACACTAGTATACTTCAATACAAACATTGGATAAACATGAACACTTTATAAAATCATCAGTAATATCCATGAAGTTACATAACCTATTAGAAAAACATTACCAATGTAATTGTATCGCATAAAATACTATTTGGAGGAAAGAAAATAAGGAATGAATAACTTCTACTATATTTTGTTCACAGTTAACGTTTCGTTATACCAGCGATCCAAATTACGATTGGAATTCTTACTGTCTACTTAAGCTCATGTTGTCTCAGTGTCAAGTTCGCTCATGACTCGCAGAATATCATATTTTTTACATTGTAATGTTCTAAGTACCTACATTAATCACATAATTCAATCACAAGTTCGTCTGTACAAACACACTCTCGAATCATATATCTGAATTTTATTATATCCAGGCACTTTACACTTTAATAGACTAGTACGTGATCATTCCTAACAGCGTGAGTATTTTAATGCAAGATATTTTATAACATACTCATGACTTACTTTCTTGAACGTAAAATGCATGATGCTCCACACAAGCTTCGTCACTTTTACGAAGAACTGTAAGAAACGTAATTTTATCTAAGAAGCCAAAAACTTATTATTCGATGAAAATGTTTTCTCAAAGCATTAATTTTCAAAATGTCAGAGCCTTCCTCCATTTTTCTCTTAATGGAATTATACATTTAGCTTCATTATTGCACCTGACAGCAAGGTAGATTTAATGACTCGTTACAACTGCAATCTTCAAAAAGGCTCGATATCGATCAAAAAATCTCCACGTCAAAGATGACGAATTTGTGATGGACACAATATCGACGATGATGTAACGTCGCGTCTATTCAAGTTAGGAATAAGAATTAAACTCAAGGCGTCGATGTTTCTTCTTTAGTGGATGCTTTCGCGCAGCGTAGTTTTTCCTGGACATTATCGATGGCGGAATCAGCAGATCCAGTTCCGAAGATTCCGTCTTGTTACACTGGTTCTGATCCATGGGGAACATGTATTCGAGATCGATGTCGTACCTTTCGTACGAGACAGTAACATTAGACGTCTTTTCTATAATTTACTGTGTTAAAATGAAACTTTTCACTCACTTGGGCAACTTCTCGCGAAGATAAGAAATGACGTTAGGTCCAAGGCTTTCCTCTCTGCTCATGATGAAGCTGGATAAGTATCGAGGACTCTTGCTCTGTTCTGCGCAGTGCATGAGCAGTGCCCATGAATTATAATCTGAGTCTAGCACGTACGTATTATAAATACCTTCATCTATAAAACATAAATACTACATTCTTAACAAAAATTACGTCACTAATCAATAATTAAATTCAAGAGTTTGTGATATGTTTAATTCTATAAATCAAATTCTATTATTTAAAGGTGTTTATTACGTGCTCGTTATTTCAAATTTATATCTACATACAAAATTTGTCTACTGCTATATCTGCGTTATTAATGAATCAGACTAATACGTTTTTGATGTTTGATAGAAAGAACCTACATCAAAGTTTATTTTGTAAAACGTAAGAAACCCTGTAATTTACGTGCCAGAGTCAAGCAAGTTGATAAAATTATTTGACGAATTTCCAAAGCTTCTATTACTTGTATCATATTCATAATCCTATCTTAGAATTTCAGGTTTTAGCCCTTTCTACCCATTTTGAGAATATTCGGAATGCTTACACGGATACTCAGCGTGCACCCAGTGAGCAGGTAACTCAGCCGACGGAATCTTCCAGGTGATGTTACCAACAAGTTGTTCATTGATCGGATCATCCGTAAAACTGTAAGTGAAATTCATGGTGACTTCCGTGCTTTCGGACGAAATCGAAAGTTCGGCTCGCATGCATCTGTACGCGAGTGCTTCCTCCGAGCTTGCATAATACTGCACTATGTACCACGATCCAAGGAACTGCAAGAAATACACGTTATTTTGTTGCTGCAGCCCAGAGAACGGTTACTACACGGAAAATCCACGTAGGTGTTCGTATCTAATAGCCTTGTTGTTCGCGTGGAAACGATAATCGGTATATCCACGGTCCGTTCGGCTTGCATCGCCGTACACATATCGAGGACTCATGTTAAGCGTTCCTAAATGAAAGAAGAAATACGAGAAAATTCGATGACTCTTCCAAATATCGTTATAATGGTTAAAAAAAATTACGATCAGGTGATAGGTATTTTAATTAAAAGTATTCGGGAAACTACGGTGTAACTTTCA